AAGAAAAGAAAAGAAAAGAAAAGAAAAGAAAAGAAAAGAAAAGAAAAGAAAAGAAAAGAAAAGAAAAGAAAAGAAAAGAAAAGAAAAAATAGAAAATTATGATAAAGAGCACTTTGGTTTCTACAAAACTTCTTTTTTTTTTTTTATGGGCAGAGTCAAAGATGCTGTCTAATCCACCCCTAGAAAATATTCTTTCGACAAAGATCAAAACTCTTTTGTGAACATAACACTGGTTTTGTATATGTTATTTATCAATGTCAGTACTTGCTTCTATCATCTTCTTTTCTTTTCTTTTCTGATCCCAGATGAGATGGAACAGCTTTCCATTTAGAAAAGTACCTTACGAGCAGGAATTCTGATGGGCCTTTACAAAGGCACTGGATAGCCCTGGATTCAGCTGCTTTTGCAGTGTCCTGAATATCCTGAATAGCAACATTTGTCATAAACTTGATGATGCTTCTGTCAGTTCCTGATAAATCTGAATGAATTTTTCTTTTTTATATATAGTCTCTCACTTTTCACCTCTTTTCATGGTAAACTGAATATAGTAAAGAGTACCATTTTTTAGGGGTAGTTTACTATATCCCATTATTAAATAAGATACTTTTTTCTACACTTTCTTTGTTACTAGTTTTTTTGTGTTCAGAAATTGTTGAATCTTTCTGTGGACATTATTAAACTTGGAGAATGTCTGCTTTGTAATCAAAAAATTATGTTAGCCCATAGAACTATGCCCACAATAATTTTATTCTAATATAACTATAGTGGTATACAATTGAACTTGGGCTTTAAAATCTGCTTGAGAGGCTAAGAAAAAATGCTGAACCTGCTTAGAGCTATTTTAGAGAATGTGACTCTCAAGTCTTCATGTACAGTTCATTTGAACAAAGATTTACATAATTGCAAACTGGATACACTTTCATTCTTAGTATTTCTGCTCCTCTGGACCTACAACTTTCTTTCTGGAAGTTATCTGCATTTTCTGGAGCCTGCTTCTGTCTTGTGTGTTTTTCAGTCCAATTTCCTGAAAAGAGATAGTGTATGTCAATGACCCTTTTCAATGAGGAATACTGCAAAAGACAACATATTTTTCCGTGTTTCTTTTCCATCTTGACTTGCCTCCTTTATGTCTTGAAAATGAAACAGACCTTAAGACATGTAAAAGTATCAAAAAGTAAGTATTTACAAAAGCATAAGTTGTTTAAGTTCTAATTGTAGTCAATGGACATATGGTTGAATTCCATTCCCTGTTTCTTGAAC